TCTAGAATCTATTTTTGTTGAATATGAGAAAAGTTTGATGTTTTATATAAGATACTATTAATATGAGACTTACATACTTAGCATCATCTCTAGGAAAATTAAAATAAAGTATGAAAGTCAAAATGCATTTTCACTCCTACACTCCGCCTAAAGCCGCCTAGGCTTTAAAGGCTAAGGCTTCATCATGCCGCCTTGGCACGCCTTGTGCCTTTTAGAACATTGATGATATTAATGATTTACCATAGCTAAGTTTTTCTTGGGAGTTGGGAGCAGGATCATTTTTACAAGTCAATTAAAGTACTAGCTTCACAACGAAAGGGGGCGAACTTACCCCAAAGCGTTGATGAAACAAATCAACTGCTGCTTTGGCATTTCGAGTAATTAATCCTCTTCTGAAAAAAACATAAAATGTAAATCATACATTGCTCCGAAGCAGACCTATATAAATGCAGCTTTTCTTTTGCAAGTACAGAATACTAAATTTGAATGACAGAATGGAATGGGCAGTGGGAAGGCGTTGACCATACAGTCATACACATTACAGAGTATTGTGTTTGTTACATAATTATTTAGTCATTACTGTTTTACATTCCAATGATAAAGAATACATTAATAAATATATCACTGAAATTCAATAATTTACTCGGCACTACTCACACTATTAGCATGTGACTATGAGTGTATCACTGTGTGTATCAGATGAAATCAATGTTTGCACAAACTTCTCCAATTATTTATTTAGAATCATGTTATACAAAGTTGTAAGCAATGATCTAAAACACTTAAGATGTCAGCAAGTACCAACTTTCACACTTTCCCTCATTCTAATTCACAAGTAAGGCTCGTTGGGGCGCATCTTGTCATTTAAAAGTATTCATCACCACAAATAATTGAACAACCCAAGCAGCTTACAGCCTTATGCCCTAACACCTTACAATAGGGTATTAGTACAAAAGAGAGAATTACAGATGTAATGAGCAAATCGAACAAACCATGAAAGTATGATTGCTAAATTATACTCCGTAGTCCGTATGTCACAGTTCATCAGATAGCTCAATGTGAGAACTTTACCTGATATTCCTAGATTCGAGAAAACCAAAAAGCTCTACTGCACCTGCACAAAATATCCAAGCCTTTATAAATCGGTGGGGGCAGAAGGGTCCAAACAGCCACGGAAAGTAAACACGATAGTATACATATTAGAACCTAAAGAGATAAGAAGTCGGGTAAACGGGGCAAACCCGGCATGATTTGCAGACGATCGAGGCCTTGCTTCTCAAAATCGGCAATGATATCATACGCGCGGCTCTTTGTTTCGGGGCTCCAGCTCTCAATGTGGCGCAAAATGTCGATGCCGGAGGGGTTCTTCGACTTGATATCACGGTATCCTTCCTCGCCGAGAACGGCCATGTACATAGCCGGGAAGTCGATGACGGGAATAGTCAAGGTTCCATCCATGTCGAACACAACGCCTCGCAGACGGGCCGTCTTAGGAGCGGCGGAAGAGAGGTTGCCGGCGAAGGTGGTGGAAGTAGCCATGGACGAAAAAGTCCTTGTATGATTGGGCAAGATACATGAAGCTTCGGGAAGTAGGAATGACATTCTTAACAGAGTGAAGTATAGATAAGTCATTATGCAGCAATTTCATGATAATTCATGAAAGACTGTAACTACGCTAGGTACATTCATAACAGAGTGAAAAAACGTAACATAACTACGCGGTTCCTAACTAAGCTAAGTTTTTTTTATAACAGCGTCAACTAATTTGAGAACCCGTTTGGTAACACGAAAATCGGATGGTTTCGCTGATTTTGTTGAAATTTTTAAAGTTCTGGCTGAAGTGGTGGCATTGGTTGATTCTGCTGATTTAAAAAAATTGTTTTTAAAATATACGTAGTATTTTATGAATAAAATAAAGAAGAAATTATATGTAAAATAGTTAAAATTGTCGTCTGCAATAAATTCAGCCAACACAGCTAGAAAAGTAACTTCAACCTTACCTTTTCTGCTCATTACACAATTCAGCGCGCTAAAGCAAAAGTTACGTGTTTGATGGAAAAGTTACCAATTAAATAATGTGTTACCAAACGGCACCTGAGTAGATTATCCGATTGATAAGCAATTTCATGATACCTTATTCATAATTCATATACGAAAGTACTCGTATATATCAACTAAAATATTGCAATTAAATAAGGAAAAATTGAAAATAATAATCTCAACTATTGTCGGTCCGCTAACAATAATCTCAACTATTGATTATTTTTGTATGATCCCAACTATATAGACCGTCCGCCAATAATGGTCCATGATCATATATTACCTCCTATAACAAGTGAATTTTAAAAAGAAATTAAGCGTAAAAATTAAAATTTTGGATTATTTATAGGGATTACTTGTTATATATCTTCCCATCCACTTCAAAAACTACATGAATTTATTTATAGGGACCATTATTGGCAGAAGGTCCCTAAAGTTGGGATTATTCTGAAATAATCAATAGTTGGGATTATTATGAGCGGACCGCCAATAGTTGGAATTATTACTATCAATTTTGAAATAGTGATTATGAAATATAAATAAATTATGAAATAGTGATTTAGATAAATCAAATAAGTAATTGACATGATATCTTCATTTTTTATATTCGGAGTACATAGTTATATATATACAATAATAACAAAAATGTTATTTGCACACGCTGACTTACACACCGGTTTACACGTCAACTGTATTTTGTTTGTGCGTAGATAATTGAGTTTCATTTTAGTAAAGAAAATTGTCTATGCACATACAATTCACCTTTTCGGGATCACATACTGTTCCATTTACTAAAATGAAAATCAATTGTCTATACAGTGTAAATTTAGTTTTAGTGCCCCCGTTCTCTTTTCGGGTGGAGCAAGTGGCCCCGCTTCTGACTCCGAAATTTAGGTTTAGTACTTAAAGATAAACATTGTGTCCCCCTATCGGAAAAAACAATATGATATGGGGATAATTTTATCGAAGAGGATATAACAATTGTAGTGAGAAATGAATATGTTTTCATAGTTGTAAAGGAGGGATTCCTTACAGAGTTACAGTTAGACATGTCGTTGATATGGTCACTACTTTCTTTGAAAGATGAATGATTTTTTGGCTAGGTATGAATAATGTTTATCCAAAGTTAGATGTCAAATATGTGAGATGAATTTAATGGATGAAAGAATTTTCCTATGACCAAATTTACATTCATGAAAAAATGTGTCAATGCACGATAAAATAGTGTCAGACTGCTATACTCTTTCATTCTTTGTAATGCGATATAATAAAAGTTAGATATAAAAAATCATATTATTAAATAAAATTGTCTTGAAGGATGGAAGGACAAGTTGAATTGTGCTTCATTTTTTAACACTACACGGTAGTATTATATTTCAAACAAGCTAAGTACTAACAAATTTTATGCCACAATGTACAACATTAGACATAATCCTAGTTCAAAACTAAAATCTTGACCATTTAATAGTATGAAAAATAAAAATAATTTTAATGCAATATCACAAACGGTGCAAGATGATTCACTTCTAATCTAAATTATGTGTTTCTTTCAGAAAGTCAAATATTATTGTTTATAATGGGTTTAATGGGTTCAAAGCTAGAACTATAATTCATAGATGTCCATCGCTTGAAACTGACATTCAATAATTTATTTCAGGTTAAAAAAAAAAGAATAGACTAGATAGAATAGACCAATGATGCACCCAATCCAACCAACCGACCCGACCATGTTAGAAGATATATTACTCGTAGTTGTGATCAATTATACTTTATCTGCTTGTAATAAATTACTTTCCTAGAATAGGCCTAGTAGAATGATTGTAATAAGCTCTAAATGTCTTTAAGGGCCTCAAATAGAAGTTTGGGCCTATGAATGTGAAATGACCGATGCACAGATACTCAAGGTATAAATATTTACGTATTAGGTATCTGTGCATACGTGAATCATTCTGAGAGAACCGCAGAGCACATACGTGCGTGAGAGTGAGAGTAGAGATATTCATCGTTGTAAAACTTCCAAATCATTATCAATGGATATTTCTCTGCTTTTTCAATCATTCAATAATGCCCCCGCTTTCGAAAGCTTCTAGGTCCATCACTGCTTCTGTGCATAGACAAAATATAGTTGGCATGCAAATGAACGTGTAAGCAGCGTGTACAAGTAGCATTTTTTGCAATAATAAAGGCTTTCCTAAATTCATATTAAGCGAAGTGTTCTACTAATGAATTCTTCAATTTATTTTATTTTATTTTTCTCTTTTTATTTATGTATGAATAAATGTTAAGTTTTAAAACTTGAGTGCCTAAACTAAAAACATATAAACAATTTGACGATGACAAATATCATGAACGTGTAGATGTTCATGATGCTTTGTAACTTCGTCGTAACCCAAAGAACACTACTCTTCAAATAAACTCCGTATTACATAGTCACTTTTAATTTGTGCTTCGAGATAAACAAAGAACCATTTTATTAGTGGTATCCTCCAATCAAATTAAAATTTCAATTAGAAGAATATATTACAAGTTATGTCATCTCTGACTTCGTAAATAATTGGAATTATACATTTTTCACTGAGATTAATAATAAGAGTGATAATAGAACGTAATTGTTCCTCATCCTACTTGTTTTGGTCCATTGCCAAGAGATCTTCGTTCTTCTTTTGTTTTCGTTATGGTCCATTGTATAGATTATCAAGTTCAGTCTGGTTGGTTTGGTTTAAACTATATATAGGATATTGTTCGGTTTAAGACTTTAAGGAAGAAACTCAAGAAAAAGATGGGAAGAGGGAAATGAGAAGCAATTGAGAGGGAAGTTATTTTATCCAAGTAGAAGAAATAAAGTTGGTGCCACACTTCATGGTTTGCCTGTTTGCCATGTAGTTTTGCAAAGTATACACATATTGTGTGTGCATATATAAAAGTGTGCACAGAAGACATGCCATTAAAGAGAAAATATCATTTCCATATTGCAATGTGTTCTGAATCTCTAATTCCCTACCACATACAAGCTAAAACTATGCAAGGCACAGAGATACATGCCCATCAATTTCTACAGTTTTTCATACTGATACGGAAGAGGCAAAAGTGATCATGTCAACTTGTTATCCAACCTGAGCTGAAGAGATCCTCAACTTGGGTATTTGGAATGAAGATGTAAACAGTCTTGGGGAGTCATCCGTTTGATTTCTCTTCGAGTTCTCATTTCTCTGGACATAGTTCATTTCTATATCAGTTATGAGAATATGATTCTTAAAGATGTGGCTAGAAATTCTATTGTAATGTCGTGGTAACAGTGTACCAAATACACAATAGAATGTCACTATAAGGTACGGGTATAATATAAAAATAAATTGATTAAAAATGAAAAAACTCAGTGCACGTGAATCGAACCTTGACTGACGCTGGTGAGCTTTTCAATGGAACTGGTAGAACGGTCATAGCTGGAGTGTCATCCATTCGCTTTCTCGAGTGTTCATTTATCTGGACAACTTCAATTTTAATCATCTAATTTAATATAACTCTTAAAACATGGCAAGAGTTTGTTTTTGTATATTCATATTGCAAGCAAGAGGAAGTCAGAATATGGGTTACCTTTTGTTTTTGTATATTCATATTGCAAGCAAGCAAGATATAGTAGTGTAAAGAAATACTTCTTAAACGCTCCATTCTTTTGAGTAATACCAAAAAACAAAAATTTGATTAAAAAAGACTCAATCCTTTTACTTATTCCATAAGAAACAACATCAAGTATAGGAAAATCCATAAAAAGTTTTCCTGAAAAAATATTTCATGTGAAACAAACAGAAGTACCGAACCATTAAGAAAAACAAGCAAAATTATAGTGCACAAAAACAAAGAGTTTACACAGAAAAGAAAGAAAAGAAAAACTAAGTGAATGGGACCTTCACAGGGGCTGTGTTTTTTCCCAATGAACCAGGTGAGTTCTTCACTGAAATGGTCATAGCTATTGCACCCTTCCCACTCATTCCATCGGTGGTCCTACTTCTCATGGTCCTGGACCTAGTTGCGTAGCATTTGAGTTCTGAAGTGTCATCCGTTACCTTCCTCTTTGAGTTCCCAGTTCTCTGTTCAGAGTTCAACTTTAATCAGTTATGATATCATGTTTTTAAATACATGGAAAATGTTTGCATTTTATATTCACATTCTACCATGCAAGCAAGAGAATAAAAAAACAAAAATTCTATAGGTACCCCAAATTGTACCCCAATTTGTACCCACCCCCTGAATTGCCTGTGTACACAGGCAATTCGTTTGAAAGAGGGCAGAACTTTCTACCCAAATGTCTGTGTACACCGACGGTGTACACTTTGGGGTACAAATTGGGGTACCCCAAGCAGCTCTCATAAAAAAAACAAACTTTTCCTTCAAAAACTTGTTCTTTACATTGATGTCTAACATTTAAACGTTACTTCGTTATTCTATGAAGTTGCCAAGAAGCAAAGCAACCTCAATTTGGAAACCCGGGAGAGTGACTCCGGAAAAATATCTCATCTTAATAAATGGAGCCGTTGAAAAAAACATAGTGCACTTGGCAACAAGCAAGGAAAATCCATTCAGAAAAAGTCAAAGCAAATGAGACCTTCACAGGGACTGGTGGATCCATCCTAGGCGTTGCATGGTCATTGTTTTCCTTCTTCAATGATTGTAATTCACCGGAAAGCCTACAAATTTCACCATTTTGCTTAGTAGATACGGCTTCCATTTTTGAAATTCGATTCTTCAAATCTGAGTTGGACGCTCGTAATTCCTTATCTTTTTCACAAGCGACTCCATCTGAAGAATTCAATTGTGAGTAACATCCATGAAACTTCCTCCATGTGCAAGTATGTCTCTGGGAAGTTTCCTCACACCAAACAACCACCTTCCTCACACCTCCATTGAAGCTTCTCCTAAGCTTCCACCCATCTTCCTCCCACCTTCCTAGTACCTAGTTTTGGTGCTATAAATAGAGAGCTTGAAGAGTCTTTCTATCATCAAGCAATTTAGATCATAGATTAGAATACCACAACCAAGTTTGAGTTGTGAATATCCTTGAGAGATATGTGAGGTGTTTTGAGAGTTTTTAGTTAGAGCTTGTATGTCTCTTCTTTCTATTCTTGAAAGTAATAGAAGTGTTTTTCTCTCATATTAGCACGATCCTGTTATTCCCAACACCATCTTCTTGTTCGCTATATCAACCTCCGTACCTTTTTGTCTCAATTGTTTTATTGTTTCATTTTCAAGTTTGTGATTTTGGTTCCCGGCAGAGCTCTTTTCAGCCACCAGCTTTGAAATCTCAATGTCTTTAAGTAAACAACAAAAACACTTTGTTACACAAGTAACACAATGCTAGTCATACTAAGTAAAAAACAAAAACACTTTCACAAAATGATTGAGAAGTTGAAAACACTAACCATATTTATCTTTAAGTAAAAGGAGATCTAGCTCTTTTATTCCTACGATCACTTCCCATTATGCAGCCTCAGCCACACTCCCCACCTCACTGGATGACAATTCAGTCCTGATCTGTAGAGAGAAATTCAAAAACAACCCCACATTAATCAAAGCATCAAATTTAACTTGATCTTGCACACAAAACCCTTACTCTATTGAAGGGAACACCAAATATTTTAAATGCTTACCTGATCAATTTCACCTTGCAAAAGTTTAACGTCAGAAACCCATCGTTCATTTTCTAATGCGATCCTGTCTTGAAGAATTTTTCGTTCTTGAAGAAGGTAATCGAGATGCGCATGCTGCGTTCGCACCATGCACTCCATTGCATCGAATAGCTTGCTAAATTTTCTCTTATCCAAATCAGGGGAACCATGTTTCGTCATTGATGATGCAACTAGAAATGTGGAGGTTTGGGTATACTAATTAGAGAAGTTTATGATTCGATTAAAGTTAGTACAGAAAATAACAGTCTAACTATTTTATACTTCCTCTGTTCTTAAAATAATGCAACATAAGGCTGGGCACAGATATTAAGAAGTAAAGGAACAGTAATTATCTTTCCTATTTTGCCCTCCACTATACGGACAAAACAATAACAAAATTGCTATGGGTACCTCAATTACTACCCCATTTATACCCCATATATAAACCATCCCTCTTTTTTTACCTCACTCCCTTCCCCATCTCAAATTTTTACCCCCAACTCTTCTTTCCTTCCAAAACTCCAGCCCAACCAGCCCCTACTCCCGGCTTACTCCCCTGCGACTTCAAACCACCCAGATCCGAGCATCCCGCCACAACACCGGCCAACACCACCTCTCGTTTCGCCCTCCCCTCGTCTCACCTTCCCCTCTTTTGCTTATTTTCGTTTCAAAGAGAGAGAGAGAGAGCTACAATGCTATGGTGAAAGGAGGTCATCCTTGAACTCCATTTGCAACCCTCTTCAATGGAGTTGAGCTACCACTCTCTGCACATTTCCTTCCCAGTATTCCTCTTTTCTCCCCTTTTTCATCTTTCTTCATTTTTTATTATTTATTTTTTATTTAATGTGTAATAATCTATATATCTTGTAATGTTGAATTGTTTAATATGTTGTGTTATTGTAATGGATTTGTGATGTTTATTCTTAAAATTTAGTCCAACTATTCTAAGTCATTAATATGCCCATAACATGTTTGTTGAAATGCCTATACGAATTTTTTGTTTATGTCCTCCTATGTTTTAAGGATTTTGGATTTTGTTTTACTAGTATAATTTTCAACTTTAAATTGTGCATATTGTTGTCTGGTGTATTACTTGAAGTGCATATATGGTTGATTTCTCTTAGTAGTTGGTAATGGCTTAGTAGTTTAAAATTGGTTTGTAGTTGTCTGTCATGTGAAATTAGTTGTCTGGCAAGCCATTTGAGTTGTCTGTCACTTCATTTTGAACTGTTGAAACTAGGTTTGTAGTGGTCTGTCATGTGAAATTAGTTGTCTGGCAAGCCATTTGAGTCGTCTGTCACTTCATTTTGAACTGTTGAAACTAGGTTTGTAGTTGTCTGTCATGTGAAATTTGTTGTCTGGCAAGCCATTTGAGTTGTCTGTCACTTCATTTTGAACTGTTGAAACTAGGTTTGTAGTTGTCTGTCATGTGAAATTAGTTGTCTGGCAAGCCATTTGAGTTGTCTGTCACTTCATTTTGAACTGTTGAAACTAGGTTTGTAGTTGTCTGTCATGTGAAATTAGTTGTCTGGCAAGCCATTTGAGTTGTCTGTCACTTCATTTTGAACTGTTGAAACTAGGTTTGTAGTTGTCTGTCATGTGAAATTAGTTGTCTGGCAAACCTTCTGAGTTGTCTGTAGGGTATTCAATTCAACCTTTATTACAATACATAAATTGTATGTATTAGTGTCGTAAATATCTGTGTTGGTTATACTTGTCTGTCTACAGGTCTGAAGAATGTGCAGCGATGGTTGCATACGCCGTTCGTTTGTATAGGAACAAGAGATGTCAATACGCCGTTCGTTTGTAGCGATTGAATAGGGTGGAAAAAGCATAGGAATTCCTTAGAAATGTGGGAATGTTTTTATGGGTTGTTTAATGTCTGTGTGACCAGACAACTTTATTTGTTTGTGTAAGTAGAACAAGTGTTTGTATTCGCATGCAAGTATTTCACAGATGTATTATAATGTACGTTTGATGAGTTGAGCAAGTGTTAATGTAGTTTTTATATAAATGTGAGTGCTTTTGTTTGGAAACATTGTTGTATTTGGCCGAATATAAAGATAATTGTTTGTCTGTAGAGACGAAAAGATAATTGTTTGTAGGGAGAATTTGACTTTGCACCCCATGTTTTGGTTAATATTGGACTTTGCACCCCATTTTCAAAATCATTAATATTTGCACCCTATTTCACTATATAATCATTTGGCTTTGCACCCCACTCCTTCACAATTTTTGAGCTAATGGGGTGCAAATATTAATGATTTTGAATATGGGGCGCAAAGTCTAATATGACCTAAAACATGGGGTGCAAAGTCAAATCCCCCCTTGTTTGTATGTAGGGACGAAATGATAATTGTTGAAGGGAACATGTATACTGTTCTGAAATAACACATGAAGAGAAGTGCACAGAAGTCACGCCTCAAATGAAATTCATGATTGGACCGTATTAACGCCCTGTGTCTATGATAAGGGGTCGGATTTGAACCTTCGGTTATTGTAAATTAGCAGTGTATGTAGTTTGGAATGAACAATTACTTGTGGTCTTGAAAATTATGTGTTTGTCTTATGGTATATTTCTTCTACAGCTAGACAACTTAATTGCCAGATAGACAAAATGTATACCTAAAAATACTATACGCACACACGACACACAACTATGTCATACACAGACAGATAAATTGCATCCGTAGACAGACATTACATAATAATTAAATAAAAACATATGTAAAAGTTCACAACATAACAAAAAAGGTTTCATTTATACTTGACAACCTAACATAACCCAATGTACAACATTGCACAACTACATACTCGCATTTACTTGAATGTCACATTTGTAAGGTTTGCAACATATTCAAAAACAAAAACAAAATCTCATCCAATTATTGAACATTGTACAACATTAACATTAACGGTTGTACAATATTCCGCACATTTTGTAGACAGACATCCATAATGTTTGCAACTGCATTAAACAACCCATAAAAACATTTCCACATTTCTAAGGAATTCTTATGCTTCTTCCACCCTCTTCAATCACCACAAACGAACAGTGTATTGACATCTCTTGTTCTACATGTCTGCATATTCACACTATGGAACCAAGGGCTTTCCCTTTAACAGGTGCTTTGCAAAGGATGCAACCATCGCTCCACATTCTTCAGACCTGTAGACAGACAAGTATAACCAAGACAAATATTTACGACACTTATACAGACAATTTATGTATTGTAATAAAGGTTGCCAGACAACCAATTTCACATGACAGACAACTACAAACCTAGTTTTAACAGTTCAAAATGAAGTGACAAACAACTCAAATGGCTTGCCAGACAACTAATTTCACATGACAGACAACTACAAACCTAGTTTCAACAATTCAAAATGAAGTGACAGACAACTCAAATGGCTTGCCAGACAACTAATTATACATGACAGACAACTACAAACCTAGTTTCAACAGTTCAAAATGAAGTGACAGACGACTCAAATGGCTTGCCAGACAACTAATTATACATGACAGACAACTACAAACCTAGTTTCAACAGTTCAAAATGAAGTGACAGACAACTCAAATGGCTTGCCAGACAACTAATTTCACATGACAGACAACTACAAACCAATTTTAAACTACTAAGCCATTACCAACTACTAAGAGAAATCAACCATATATGCACTTCAAGTAATACACCAGACAACAATATGCACAATTTAAAGTTGAAAACTATACTAGTAAAACAAAATCCAAAATCCTTAAAACATAGGAGGACATAAACAAAAAATTCGTATAGGCATTTCAACAAACATGTTATGGGCATATTAATGACTTAGAATAGTTGGACTAAATTTTAAGAATAAACATCACAAATCCATTACAATAACACAACATATTAAACAATTCAACATTACAAGATATATAGATTATTACACATTAAATAAAAAATAAATAATAAAAAATGAAGAAAGATGAAAAAGGGGAGAAAAGAGGAATACTGGGAAGGAAATGTGCAGAGAGTGGTAGCTCAACTCCATTGAAGAGGGTTGCAAATGGAGTTCAAGGATGACCTCCTTTCACCATAGCATTGTAGCTCTCTCTCTCTTTGAAACGAAAATAAGCAAAAGAGGGGAAGGTGAGACAAGGGGAGGGCGAAACGAGAGGTGGTGTTGGCCGGTGTTGTGGCGGGATGCTCGGATCTGGGTGGTTTGAAGTCGCAGGGGAGTAAGCCGGGAGTAGGGGCTGGTTGGGCTGGAGTTTTGGAAGGAAAGAAGAGCTGGGGGTAAAAATTTGAGATGGGGAAGGGAGTGAGGTAAGAAAAGAGGGATGGTTTATATATGGGGTATAAATGGGGTAGTAATTGAGGTACCCATAGCAATTTTGAAACAATAAAGCACATAAAGTGCTACAGTCACATCGGTCAAGGTAAACTCTGTCCTTCGGCACTAACTTCGACCGCACCCTCTTCACCATAAGCAAAATTAGACGGAAGAAGCTTCATTGATTCTGAGGATCACACTTAGCCGCAGCAGTGGAGTCTATCAATTTCTTCTCCAAGCAAGCAACCAGCGTTTTTTTCTTTTCAGAAACAAGCAGCCGTAGGAGTAGTTTTTATGCTATTCTTCCTGTTCGTAGAGAGTCCAGCAGCCAGGAGATCATCAATTCTTTTCTACACTTAGCCGTAACAATGATTTTTGTTTTCGTTCCTTTTCCTCAAGCAGCCGCACCAGCAGAAATCAAGGACATCAGTATTTTTTTTAGTATCCGGAACCACCAGATCAGAAGTAGATACTCGTGGCGGAGTAGCCGGAGAAATATCAGTTCCATCTCTGTTCACGTCTTTCATTTCAACGGTAATTGAAGTACAAATATGAGAAAACAAAATTAAGTGAAGAAGATGGTGAAGAGAGAAATAAAGAAATGGCTGAGTGGGTGAAGAGAGTCGGTGGAGGAGAAGGGGCAGTAAAGAGACCGGAATGAAGGAAAGTGTTGCATTTATTTAAGAACGGAGGAAGTACAATTAAACTCCAACCTTATCATTTCCAAGTTTTCTACTCTCCTTTTAAAGAAAATATTTGTATAGTACTATAGTAAATATTACTTACCTCCGTTTAAATCAGATACATATATGATTTTATTTTTTAAATCCAAGCGTTACTATTACTTTTTAAAACAAACAATCGCTGAAATATTCATAACACAACAACTTTTGCCCGAAACATAGAAGGAAGAAATATCGATACCTTATAAGGATTCTGGAAGAAACTTCCAAAAGACGAAGCAGAGCTCAGGCTTAAGGATGGAAAGGGGGGCGGGGGCCCATGGGGAACCGCCCCGTGGGGGGAGTTGGGGCGGGTGGTGGGGTGGGGGAGATATTTTCTCCCCGCAAAAA